GTACACCTCTAGTGAAGTTCAATGACATGACACCAAATTTATACCTACATTTTATTGCAGGCGTTGTAAACTTGTAATTTAAATTGGTAGCATTGGCGCGTAAATTGGGTGTACTGAATTTGGTAGACATTTACTAATTTTGACTTTCGATTACATTTTAAAGTATGAGCATAACTTTGTCAGATAAGCGCACTTTTTAAATTGCGTTGCGGATATACATTTTTACGCATTTGTTTTTTGGTACAATATTCATTTTTTGGTATACCTTGTCGTTTTAAGTTAAACGTGTTTAGGTATTCAAAACTGATTTTGGTATACAATATATTTGTTCCCTATGAAAAAATAGATAAACGTGTAGGCGGCACCAGCCAGTTGCCGACAATAACCATGAGACAAACATCGAAAATGAAAACGTACCATTATGTGTAAAAATTGTGCATGAATCACTCAAACATTAAGCGATGTTTTTAGATGTTTGGTATGGTGGAAGATAAACGTTTTGATCATATTTTATGATTAGTGAGAACCTTTATCAGCACTGGAGGTACTCTCTGTCTACCTACGTGACGGAACACCATGAACTCGGCAAAATATTAAAGGGCGCCACACACCGGGCCCGTATGCGTGACGTGCACGTTATCACGCGCATAGAGATGGCGTTGTATCGTCTGGGATTGTATGAGGCACCGCACACCGTGCTACTCGCGTGATTACGTGCACGCATACATAGGCAGGCCTCTCATACAATCCCATACGATACAATGTCATCTCTACGCGCGTAATGACGTACACGTCAAGCATACGCGCCCTGTGTGTGGCGGGCGCCCTTAAGAGATACGAAAATGTCTGTATTGAAAAATTTGTTTAGCATGATGTGCCGCTTCTGTCGGCTCAAAAACTTCTCTTGGCGAAACGAAGTTCGCGGGCACCAGCTAGTATTAGAATAAATATATATAAGTAATAATTCAATTCATCGAAATCCCCCAGGTCCAACAGTTCACACAAAAGGCTGTTATTTCAATTTTAATTTTAGAACAGTTTATAAAAGCTGTAATGCTGGCTGGATATTGTTATCAGCTGCGAGAGCCGCCGGAACCGGATGCTCTCCGTCTTGTCCGCGATTACCAGGCCCACCCTATCCTTAATTTCTTTGAAATTAGAACACAAATAAACGTTGTTTTATAAAAGCGGGAAAACAGTCGTTAAGCTTTTTAGATTTTAATAAAGTGTTGAGTGTGAAAAAAAGTATTGTCCGAACTATTATAATGTAATAACAAGTTAGGTACTTTCTAATTTAACAGTATTCGTAGCCTAAAAGAAATCTTGAGGAAAATTTATAATTTACGACTTTACGACACTTACCTACACACATAATATAGATCGCATAATAGTAGTTTATGCAACTGCCTAATAATGAGAGGCTTTAGGATGAGAGTGTCTGTTTGTTTGACACGAGCATTCTAAAGCCTAATTATTTGCAGTTGCATACACTATTTTATGTACACTCTACAAGAAAAACTATGAAAAATAATTCAAACCTCCGCACTGCACTATGGCGATTGCAAGCCTATCTACTGAACCACCAACTGAACGACTTTTGTACATAAGTAACTTTTTAACTAAACGTTAAAATGGAGGCTCATAAAAACTGAACAACTATTAAAATTAAATAGCATTTATCGCTGAATTTTAATTCGAAAAATGATTTGAAGAAAAGATTTAATAATAAATAAGTCCTCATAATTTCAAATGTCGTCCCGCCGCGGGTGACACTTGTTTTTTTTTTTCATTCGACTTACTGATGGCCAGTGTCAAATTGGAACAGATTACAATTTGGTACGCGGGTCAATTCGTTTAATTTTTTTTCAAATACTAGAAATCGAGTTACTTTATGTAGCTGCCAGTAGTATGAAAGTTTTTTTTTAAAGGCTGTATATTCGTAATGCAGTTCATTACGTTCGTACTTTCGATTCTGTAAAACGTATATTACGAACTGAGTGTAGATAAAATAAATTACATCAGACAGCAATTCCATTGGAAGCCTACCAACATATTGATCAGCTGGTAATTGCTATCGATGATAAATGCATCCAATACCTGTCAAACTTGACGGAAGGTTCCGGAAAACGGTTAGTTGCACTGTGCTCCAAAATGCTGACCTATTAAAAATACCTACTTCAGATAATATATAAAATAAATGTTTTCATACACAAAGTTGGAAAAATACTTCTGATGCTAGAGACGCTGTCTCTACATAATATAATTTGGATTTGTTTCTGGTAGAATTCACATTATTAATGCTGTTTCTACATTTTTGGATAAGCATTAAGTATATCGCGATGTGAAACCCTGTCAAAGAAACTAGTTTCAAATGGTTCATCTACACTTCCTTGCACTAAGAAATCATTTTGTGGTCCACCCGCACTAAACGCTGCTGACACTTCCTACTAGCCGTGCTGAATTGTTCTGATTTCGCACTTCCACGACGGCAAATAGAACTGATGTATCCTTGTAGCCCGCTCTTTGTATTGGGCGTGCCTGCAAATCTAGAATAAACTCACAAAAAATCACGTTTCATTAGGTATTTATCTAGCTTATTACTCGTGACTCTACCGAGTGTGAAGTAAAATAATATGATATTATAAATAAAGAATAAAGGTATAAAGTTGTAGAGTGATGAAATCGGGAGCACACTGAAGTGACGTTGTAAAACGTCGTTCGTCTCGGCTGCAGTGCAGGTGGCTTAGTTATAACTAGGCTAATCACTTATTGATTCCATCTCGGTAGGTACTCGCTAAGATTGTGAGCTGCTCTGCATATGCTGATATGCTCGCTAACTAGAAATTCATAAATCTGAGCGCAGGTATTAAATACTTACTAGAATTAAGAAATTAAATCAATCAATCGTGTTTAAGGTGTAGCTACTAGTAAAGAAGAAAAAATTGCAGCGCAATACACGACACGCATGACGCTTATAGATGCGTACCCCTTAACAAAAGCCCACTTTTTTTAACGTTGTGACATTCATAATAGAAACAAACTCGTTTAATCCTCTTCATTTTTTATCCCCGCTTACACTTACAACAGAAAATAAATTCTTACTTCGTACTTAATACATTCTAGTAAGAACATATTCTGGTTCATCATGTAGTAGTTAAAAATAAATTTGCAAATATTGGCTTTATAAACATGCGAGTTTCTCGAAAACCGTTATGTAAAAATAATATGTTACTTGAACATTTAATCAAGCATATTTTCATCTAAAAAATGTACAATGTAAATATTAACATTTTAGTTTTAAACCTGTTACAAACAGCGATATCTAAAGCGACAAAACCAAAATTCAGGAAAAGACCTCAAATCAAGCGTGAGTTTTAGAGTTTTGGTTCACTGTAAAAAATATCAATTATACAAAAAAATAGAGTATATATTTGAGAACAAAGTCTACAGTAAACATTTTACAATTTTATTCAGAAATATAGAATAATACCACGTTTTTATATACGATTTTTTGCAAAATAATGCGCCATTATAACGGCTTCTGTATGAAAAAATAACAGTAGTAAAGATTTAAAAAAAATATATGTTATTTAAGAAGATGTACTTAATCTAATTGCAGAAAAATATATTTATTTTTATTCATAATATCACTGTAAAAAATATTCAAACATCCCCATGTTTTTCGCAAAATGACGCTCCGAGAGGTCTGGCAGGGAAAATTGTATGGGCTTCGTGAAAAGCTCTATAGCGGCCTTAAACGGGCGGGTTGAGGTGCAGCACGTCAAGCAACCCCTTCAAGGGATTAACTTATACTGGACTTGCATACAGCTACTAAAATAGCCAGTGTAAGTTATTAAATCCCATAAGTAGTAAGGTTGAGTCACAGTACTATAACATCCTGCGGTTGAGCTCAGTGAGTGATTACCACTGTTAGCAGTAGTCAACTCTGCCTATCCGTCTCTATTTGTCAACCTACCCCATCAAGGGATTAAGTTATACTGGATTTTCTTTCATACAGCTACTAAAATAGCCGATGTAAGTTGATCCCTTAAATAGTAAGGCAAAAGGTTGAGATACAGCATCGTTCATTCAAAATCATAGTGTCATGACGAGCCTAAGCGGCAGGCCAAATTAAGCTGGTAGCGCAGTATCTAAATATTGCCACCGGCGTAAATTTTCCTCCCGCTTAGGCTGGTCATGTCATTTCATGCATGATACTATGATTGCGATTAGACGAACTAACATCCTTGCGGTTGACCTGAGTGAATGATTGCCACTGTTCGCAGTAGTCGGCTATTTGTCAACCTACCTCTTCAAGGGATCAACTTATGCTGGATTTTCATAAAGCTGCTAAGGATAGCCAATGTAAGATGATCTCCTAAATGCTTAGGTTGACCTGTAATATCTGCTACATATCTGCGGTTGACCTGAGTGAATGATTGCCACTGTTCGCAGTAGTAGGCTCTGCCTATCCGTCTCTATTTGTATGCTACGTAACTTTGCAACTACCTACTTACTTAACGGTTCCCCCGAGGAACTAGCTCAGGTGCAAATCGGCCGCTAAAGCTTTTCAACATAGTTTCATGGTTTTGCACAACTTTTCATGTCTAGGTTCTTGCTTTACAGATTAAAATAATGATATTTATGGTAAATATGATAACAAGGTCTGGCATTTCCGTCATTCATGACCACAATATCTGAAAAGTGGCCAAACCGTAGGATATTGAAAATACCTAACACTACTTTAATGCATACATTACCTACCTACCGCTAACTACTACGAAATCATACAATAAAACTACGTTGTGTCGATGAATAGTTGAAATGTTTATACTACATTAATAATGTAGTGATAATAGGTTTTCATCGCTTTGGCTACATGCAATCTGTAAAGAATAGATAAGTCGCTGAGAATTAGTTGCAAAAACTATCCCAGTAGATGGATCCCTAGGTAGGACAGTGGTCAAGATACACTTGCGAAATCCACGGGCTTGGAATGACCCGCTGTAGCCTAGTTGGTAGAGGCGTCGCCAGTACAGATGGTGAAGGTCGCTGGTTCAAATATAGCCTGTGGTGGAAAATTTTGCAAGTTTTCAAAAATGTAGTGACAGTAGTCACAGTGAATGTATGGCTTCAATTGCGCTCACAGTAGACTGAAGGGTCTATTTTTGGTCCTAAACGGCAAATTCTAAAAACAAGATTATAATAAAAAGGAACTTATTTAACAATCTATTTCTTTAGCGTTTTTAATCATCGATTAGCATAAATCGTTCTTGTCAAGAAACACTCCATAAAGTATTAATAATAACAAACATAACCCAACCCCTGTAATGAACCCATAAATTAAGTACATGACGTAATAATCTAGCTAGGCATTATTTACGTAAATCTATTTTTGTCCGATACGATACGCACCTAACTAATTATGGAGTTAATTAACCTTTGTAGAAGGCTTGTAAACACCAATAAAAGTCACACGATATCAGCTAAGTGAACTCATAACATATTTGGTTGAAGACTAGCTCTTCTTACCGTGGTTTCATTCAAAGACGTAGGTACAGACATTTACAAAATTCCATATCTAGACACACGGCAGTGTGTCCGCCAAGTTCGAGCAAAAAAAGCGACACACCGGCCGTGGGTTATATTACACGAACCATTTCGGGCCAAGTTCGACCCACCTATAACTCAAAATCTATTATATCTATGCATATGAAATTTCTAGTATCTGTCGAGATCTACTTAATTATCTAAAATACAAAATTTCATTAATGTACCTATTGTAGGTCTTGAGATATTGACTTCAGAAAATCGCTATTTTTACTATACACTCACTGACTGACTGACTCACTCATCAAAAACCTAGACCACTTCCAATGGTCGTATTGACTTAAAATTTGGCATGGAGGTAGGTCTTTAGGTCAAGGTAAAGGAAAAAATCTAAAAATGGCCAAGTGTGAGTCGGTTTTAAAAATAATGAAGGTGTAAATTCATACCCCTAAGGAACTAAAACAAAAAAATTATCTATATCTTCCAATCGTCGTACCCACCTAAAATTCATTACGAAAGTTTGTATTTAGTCAAAGTAAAGTATAAATGAGATATATATTTCCTTACCTAACTTAATCATAAGAAAAAAAGAAAATAAACCTTACAAAAATAAATGAATGGAAAGTAGATTCTTATTTCCAAACTGCGAAAAATCAAGTGTGCATTCCTGTAACTATTTTTAACTGAGGTCTGTGTATGGAACTTGGTACTTATTTAGATCTCACTTCTTTTATAGGCGAAGCATTCCAATATTATCGAACTTGGCAGCCTTTCACATTTATGTTTTGGGTGGGATAGACTTTACGGAGACATGCACATGAGCTTTAATTCTAAAGTCGTTTGAAGCCAAACTCCACTCACACATACAAAGAAGCGCGTAGTAAACCGATTGTAGCAAAAGAATAAGATGACTAATCAAGCACGTTCCAATAATGACTAATAGTGAAATGGGTAACAAAATTTCGCACTCCGTGTTAAATGTTCGGATGGCGCATTGGTAAAGACAGTGGCCCACCAGTCAGGGATGTCATGGTTCGTATCCTCATGGGTCGATTCTTTTTTATTTGAACTTTTTTTCTTTAAGTATTTTTATCGTAATTAAACTAAAGACACGTGTTATGTGAAATTTTCCACCTTGACCTTTCACTTTATAAAATAATGATTGACCTCTGAGGATTTTTAAGCTTTCTTTAAACATTTTAAGTATTTTTATTTTTAATTTTGAAATAATGTTACATTCACGGCTTAAAACAGCATCACTCTATTTCTACCCGAGGGTATCCAAGGGCCGAATGCAGGGAATGGGCAGCATTGTGCAGCGTTCAGCGTCATTCTATGTCGTAGTTTTTGATAAAACTAGGTTTTTGTCCAAAAAGCTAGGCGCTTGAGATAACAAAATTTTAACGTAAGTTTTGCCAAATTTTTTATCATAATCCTAAACCAAATCAAGTTCTTAATCAAAGACTACATTATATTAATGTTTTTGGCAATAACTTTACCGTATTTAATCCTAAACTACTTCAGGTTCATGATCGGAAACCTATATTGTTATAGATTTTCGATAAAAATCCTAAAACAAATTAATTTTTATGATAAAATTGAATTTTACCTTTGTTATCTACTGGTCTTTGGTTTTTGGTCAAAAACCTGGTTTGATTAACATCGCTGCGACATATAGCATTAACTTCACCGGTTATTGTAGCAATTGTTCTGTGGTTTTGAATTTAAAGCGGTTGCATTAAGAGTGAGTATCGAGGAGCGCGCATTGTTTTGCATGTATGTGTATAAGATGTAAACACAACGTGTAAACGATTTTAAAAGTGCATAACTTCAGCGTGCTTATATCCACTTATTACTATCACTGTATAAGAAGTGGCATTTATAAAAGCGTGATAGTACTACTCGTATCAGAAGCATATAAACTTGTACTAGTTATTTTAGTAACTATAAGTATGCAAAACCAGTTTATGTTGATTCATTAAATGGGCAGATTGATTAACATTGCTTATACATTTTTTGTAAGCTTTTCTAGTTAGGTATATTGTATAGTAGCAGGTGGGACGTTTCTGCCAATTCTGTGAATTTTATTATCCCTTGTGTTGACAGAAAAATGTTTGGGCGTATGACAACATCCATAATAATATAATAATTTCGAGAGCTTTCGTATGTGTATGTATGTTGTTGTTGTATTGTATATTAGTTACCTTTTGGTACATTTTTATCTTCGAGAGTTACAATAAGAACTACTTTTCATTGCGGGAAAACTTGCTCTCCTTACGCGAAAAACGAAAAGCAGCTCTGCAGAAAAATATCACAATAATTGTAAGTAAATAGTAAATTACAACAGTATTACTCAAATAAAATTGAAATTTTTGGGATTGATATGCTCTCCCAGTGCTGTATTAGGTATTTTCATAAATTATTATAAACAATAAAAAAAATGTCTTGCATCGATCGTTGCATCGATAGCTCAGGTGCAGAGCTGTGGGGCAATGACATGCGGTCCGGTTTCGAATCCCGGTTGATGCATGACTTTTTTCAATTTCTTATTTACATTTATTTGGTCCAATTATTCAAGAAATTAACCCCTACGTGTATAGGAATCATCAAGATTACCGAACTCTCTACATTACGAGTTGGAATGCAATGTAGATTGCGTAAACATTTCTGAAGCTTGTGTGTACGTATTCAGATAACAGCTAAAGTTTCTACCTGTGGCCTACCTCCACGGGAAATCCAATTTTGTAGATTACCTCGTATGTTGTTTGCATAGTTACGTTTTGTTAACTTGTGTCTGCTTTTTGAATGTGGTCGCGAGAAGTGAAATGATATTTGGCATTTTAATTGAACACTTCGGCATTGAAATTGAAATAGAAAATATTATACGCTGCCTTTTGTGACACAGTTAACCTAATTAACTTCCGCTTATGTAAATAGCTTACTAAATTCTCACCCTGAACGATTGTTGTAAAGTTGTAGGTATGTAAAATGAAAATTATTTTATTTGGAGCTGATGGCTTACCAATTGGATCAAAATCTGATCTATAGGTTAGATAAAATATCTAATCATTCCGAAAATTTGGTTTTACTCGAGTTTACTTGTAATAACACCAAATCAAAAGTAGCACAATCTGAATATTAATTAATAGGTGTTATGTTAGCAAATGTGAGATTATAACACCTACCTACATCTACGTAGAGTAGATCGCAAAACCTGCAGCTTCCTCGCTCTGCTTTCAAACAAATTATAACATCATGCTACTTTGCCATATTAAAGCAATATTCCAGCAACATCCATCTCCGGTAGCGAGTATAAAACATGCAATTGTCAGCTCTCCCCCGCCGTTTGTCCTCGAGGGTCCTTTACACGAGTGAGTAAAAAATGCCCAGCGGCCTTCCCTGAGCACCACTAGAGCGCCCTAAAAACTGTCTGTAATTATACTCCTACTGACCCCAACGAGGGCCAAACGAGCCGTAAGCGAGCGAATCAACAGAGATCCTGGTGCAAATAAATGTTTTGTTTATTTTGTTTTCTCTTTTGGGAGAACCGAAGAGGGTGTTTTGTCTGTAAAAGGTTTTCGGATGAGTTGGTAAGGTAGCATACGACTGACGAGTATTTTTTCATGAATTGCGGTAATTTGGTAACTTCTAAAAATGATATTATAAAGAACAAGCAGATGTATTGAAAACAAAGAACTACGATAATTTCACAGCTGTATTTTGCGATAAATTCCGCCATCTTGAATTTATGAATTTCGAATATAGCCAGTGTCAATTGCGCTGCTAAGACGAATCTAACGACACCTAACATGTCGAGATCCGCCCAGTCGTTTAGCTGTAGCCCGTAAAAACTAATTTCTTATCTACATAAATACCTACCCACATTACATACTGTGAAAAATAATAATTCAGGAACACTTTACACAATTTCTCAACTTTATTCACCAAAGTCCTAATACAGAATGTCAAGAGGGTACCGTTATATTTTACAACTTTGACAATTATTAAACTTTACTACATCGCCGCGTATTCGATTGGTACTGCGTTCCGATTCATATTTGGACAAGGTTGTGTAGTCAACTTGGTAGTGCTATCTTTGTTTGTTAATAAACAAACCGAAGGGATTGATCATGTTTGTCCGTCATACGACGAGACGCAGTACCATTCCTTTTCAACATGTTATTTAAAAATTGCAACAATTGAATGTACAATCAACAGTGTAAAAATCAATAACTAACACTCGGCCATCCTGAATCTTAATTACGCCCTCGTAAATAAACCCTTACATAAAAACGTTCTTAGTTTACACTTTTTGTTACGCTAATTTCAACCTTTCAAATCAAAGCAATTACAACAATATTACTATCCGAAAAATTTACAACAATCTTAATGTTCAAAATATTTTTAGAAGAATCATCTCTCTTAATATTCAAAACACTTTCAGCAATTCTAATATTCAGAATATTCATAACAGTCTTAATATTCAAAACATTTCTTTAACAATCTTAATTTCAATATTATTTACA